AGGAGTTGATAGCCCTCACAACCTGCAGAAGGAAACAAACACAAGAACAGAGAATGGTGGTAGCGCGAATCGTGCAGGGGTGTCCTCAGTGAGGATGTCTACCATCGGGTCGGTATCCTCAATTATGGGCTCGACCGGAACAGCCAGGTTGGAAGCCATGCGCCGCAGGAGGTCTTGATGCGCTCTGGCGTCCATTGATGGCAGCTCGTGCTCCGCGGCTTGGCTCTGCTTTGCCCCCCCCCTCTCCCTGGTCTGCAGTTCCGACTTACATACAGATTCAACTTAAGAACAAACCTACAGTCCCTATCTTGTACATAACCCGGGGACTGCTTGTACAGAAATTCCTGCTTTCCCCTCCAAGAAAAGATGGTATAACTTTAGGGTTTTCTTTTTTTTCCGGGCACAAGGCAGAAAGGCATGAGACTTAAAAAGCACATAGTTTTGTAAAAAGCCTTGGGGAGAGTCTGGGGGTGGGAATTAGTTTAGTTTTTTCCATCATACTGAGTCCTGAAGGCCATCATGATAATATGGATTTCTTTCAATTGCATTTAAGGGTGCTTGATTTCATTGTTATTTATAGTGACATCTTCCCCATAATTATATATATGATAGAATCACGGAGGGGATTTGTTAGTCCTGAGAAAAATCTTTTTTACTATTTTATAAAATACTAAGAAACATGTTGGATATTTCATTCAACATTCAGGGTCAAATCATGGCTCAATGATACCATTGTGAGTTCTGCCAATGACATCAGTGGAGCCAGGAGATAAGGTCTTTGTCTTGTTGTCAAATATAGGCTATATTTGACAAAAGCATAACAAAAAAGAAAGGTCATAATTATACAGGAACAGGGGAAGGGGAGGAGGAAAGAAATCCAGCTTTTCAGTAAGTACGTGGTGGCAATGCTAGTTTACCTCTCAGTTCTTAGGGCTTAAATACATTTTTAGAATGATTGAAAAAAAAAAACCAAGCACTTCTGTGAGTTAAGAATTTCTGAAGATTAAGTTGGTTACTGTAGCAATGACTTGGCTACAATGCACATTTATTATGTCATACTTTCTTTTCTTTTTTACCTTATCAAATTGAAACCTGGCTTGATTATATTTTGTGTTATTTACTAATCATGATACAACATTTCAGGTTGTTTGACTCTCAATGCCAATGTTTCAGTAGTGGTATATTTTTATATTTATTTAAAAAAAATATAGGGCTTAATACTGCAACTGAGATCTGATTCAATGCCAGGCTTAAGGAAGAAAGGTTACATTACTTAGCAGATAGAATCATACCCTTTAATGCCCCTAAATCAGCTGCTTACCTGTTTTACAGCATTATAGTTGACATTATGGAGAGATGGAACTGTCACACCATTTTGTTTGATTATAACAGCTAAAGGATGTCCAAGAATTCCTAAGATCTTAATTTCATCAAATTTTAAATTGTTTGGGTCAGTATATCCATTGTGCACAACCTTAATATCTAAAACATTCTGAAAGACAACAAAATATATTAGATTCATATTGTCCCAACTTGCTATCACATTGACCTTTCAATGTGATAGTGTCTTATAGTATGATCATTTATCTCTGATTATCAGACTAAAAGTCATGCAGTTCCTTCTTTCCAGATCCACTTACCTGCTTTTTACATTAAGGCTACGTCTACACTGGCCCCTTTTCCGAAAGGGGCATGCTAATTTCACAGGTCGTAATAGGGAAATCCGCGGGGGATTTAAATATCCCCCGCGGCATTTAAATAAAAATGTCCGCCGCTTTTTTCCGGCTTTTAGAAAAGCCGGAAAAGAGCGTCTACACTGGCCCCGATCCTCCGGAAAAAAGCCCTTTTCCGGAGGATCTCTTATTCCTACTTTTCTAAAAGCCGGAAAAAAGCGGCAGACATTTTTATTTAAATGCCGTGGGGGATATTTAAATCCCCCGCGGATTTCCCTATTACGACCTGTGAAATTAGCATGCCCCTTTCGGAAAAGGGGCCAGTGTAGACGTAGCCTAAATGTTTATGTATCATATACTTATATATAACACACATTGACATCAATGTGTGTTCTCTAAGTAGGACTACATATAAAGGGGAACAGCAAAGAGAGCTTTTTCCCCTTCCCCTTTGTAAGTGCACAGAGGTCAGCCACAACTACAGTTGTCCCTTAATTGTGGACTGCTCTCTGGTAGGGATCCCTTTTGAAAAAAAAAACAATTCAAAGAAGCATAGAAGCAGCAGGGCCTAGGACCCTTCATTCCTTCTCAGCCATCAGATAGGGAGAGGAAGAGATGGTACACCCTGATGAAATATGGAGAGGTAAGTGCATTCCTCCTGTCTCCTGCATTGCATGTGCACAGACCAGGAGG